AATGCCTTTACGTGCTTCTTCTTGACAGCCCTGAAACATTTGATGAACTCTTGCAGCTTTCCTTTTTTTCATTTCTTTGCAAGATGAGTTTTTACAGCTAGCCAGCAGACAGGCTAGGATAGGTATATGTCCTTAAGTATTGAGAGGTGTTGCAGTGGAGTTGTCTAATTACCTTTTGTTAGACAGAAATTTTACTTTGAGGGGAAGATCAATGTAATTGTTTCAAATATTTTTCTTTACATGCGTGTAGTTTTATAAATGCCATCTTTTTAGCTTGTTTTCACAGTGAAGTTTGGATACTTATAAATTTGTGCATCTTGTAGTACTAATATGTGTGTTTACATCAATGATTTTATTTGCCTTGTTTACTTTCATTAACAGGTAACTATTTATCTTGTAATGAATACTTCTGGCATGTGCTAGCTGGGAAGAGTTATGTGCCAATATCTCTGTTTGACTAGTACTATCCTGCTCTCCCATCCCAATTTACTTTAACCCCCTAATATTGCAGCCCTCACTTTTCTGGTCAAAATTATATAGAATTGATTTATCAATACCTTTTCTAAACTGGGGAGCATGATACAGGCCAGACTTCCTCACCCTCTTCCACATGTTCTTTGTACCCAGCATTGCAAGCTCCTGAAGAATGGAATACCGATATAAATCACAAAGCATTGCAGATGACTAGCAGCTAAGACACCAGGACAACTATCGGTGCACAAGTCTGACTTCAGGGTTGTTGGTTGTAGCCATGTTGGTCTAAGGACATAAGCTGACAAGGTTTTTTGGGTAGACTTTGGTACCGTAGTCCTCTGAGCTGGCCCTGCCCTAGGTTAAAGCAGTAATTCTTGGTTCTTTCACCCTGTTTAATGTACTTTTCTGCCCAAGCCCTCTCATGAGGCTCTTTTACACCTTTTTGTTACCACTGAAATCCTGTGTAATGATACAGCATGCTGCTAGGACTGGTGTTAGGACTACTATGGTATGTAAACACAATACAGAACTATATCAAATATGTAACATATAGCAGCTTAGGAGAGGCAATTGTAGTGTTGGCTGTTTTCAGATGTAGCCATTGGTGTCCTTCATTTTGTCATTAGTGACTGATGCATTTCCCTGCAGTCCTCCAGGTGGTATATTAATGTATGCAAAACTTTTTGTAGCCAAACATATATTTGAAATTTTTGAGATGAAACCCATTGCAGAAGAGGAGGAAGAGAGATTGGAGGTGCTTAAATTTCCTGTTTCAGAAGTAAAAATAATGGAACCATTCCAGAAACAGCCAGGTACAGCTGTGGTGGTTTCTTATACTAGTGTGGCTAACATTGCCTGCTGTGGTATTCAACATATTGGCACAGCTTTCGTTACATATAAGCAGTGCTGTGAACTTCTGAAGCTTCATAGAAAATTGCTTGTGTTTTTGCAGTGGTATTAACTCCATTTAAATCAGAGTAAACTTTGCAAGTACCCTGGATTCTGTTTTGCCATATCAAGCACAGTTAGTGATTAGACCACTTTAATGAGGTGAAGATCCTCTATAAAAATAGGCAAAATATCTGACAGCAATGATTTAGCAGTTCTCTTTGTTACATGTACTGTCAGAACTAATAGCAGCCTTCACAAGGGTAGCACCTTCTTAAAATGCTCCACTGTTGTCCACTTTCATAACGATAATTCCCAGGAAGCCTAATAGGAAGGTACATGTTTTCAAGTTATACTTTTAAGCCAGCGGCATTTGTCTCGCAGTGCAGTTTGTGGAGGTAGATTGTGGCCTCTTTTCCATCTCACAATACTTGTTCATTGCAGATCCTGCTTCTTCTAAAGTCATATGCTCCTTCCAAGACAATCCACTGCTTTAGATAAGACCAATGGAGTTTTGATGACTTACTGGTAATAACAGAAGTTGGGAGGCTAAAATATTGGGGGAAAATAATTAAAATATCATGTTCTGGAATGTCAGAGAAAAGTACAAGCCCTATATTATACCAGGGACTGGTAACATTTTTTGGCAGGGGCCAGAATAACCCAGCTGGGGTCTGAGGTGGGCAAGGACTAGGACCTCGCCATCTCAGGTATCTCTCTCTGCTGCCCAGCTGCAAAAGCTCCCCCTCCACCAAATGCCGCCCAAGCCTTAGCTCCGTAGGTCAGATCCACAAGCTCTGTGGGCCAGATGCAACCCATGGACTGTAGGTTGCCAGTCCCTGTACTGTATTATACAATGTTCCAGTATTCCTGTTGCAGCATGGCAAGCTTAACTTCAGTCTTGTACTTGCAGACTGCTTAGCTCTGTGTCCCAGACAGATGATCCAAGGTTCTCTGTGTTATCAGAGCTACTCCTTCCCTTTTGTAAGGAAAACATCTCTCTTCATCCATGAGCCAGTCTTTCTTTCCAAAGTAGCCATTTCCTCAACTCCTTTGGTAATCCAGCACACATGCTTCTGTGGTCCACAGTAGTAGTGTCATACATCTCAAATTTCACTTGCATGGTATTGGCCAAGCATAATGTTTCTTCACGCATTTCTTGTTGCATGGACCATGAGCATATTACCTCTCAGACACTTAAGTACACACAGTTAATGGTACAGGTCACTGAACTGTTTTCTGTAGCTAACCACTCAAATAATTTGAGCACTGCTTCATCATCCTGGATGGATCTACACATGCATATTAAGGTGAAGCATTAAACTTTGGTACATATCGTGCCAGAATTTATTGCTCCTGGTTACCACATTTGTACGTGCACCTAGGACCACAGCACATTGAGCCGGACCAGAGCAGCTGCAGCTGGCAGGGGGCCCAGGGGTCAGCCTGCCATCCCAGGGCTGCTCTGACTTGGCTCTGTGTACTGCAGAGGGGTTGGCTGTGGCATGAGGGTGCTTCAATGTGGGTCTAGATGGCAGGCAGCTCCCGCACTGAAGCACCGTTGTGCCCCAGCCAGCTGGGTCAGTGTCTACATGTGCATTGTTGCGCATGGAAAAAACCCTTCAGCAGCATAGTACTGCAAAGTTCATTAGTTTTCTGTGGCTTAATAGAGCTGCACATGTAGACAGCAAGACATTTATTTCAGAGCTAATTGGGCAACTTTGCAGTAAATGTCTTGTGTAGATGCCCCCCGTTTGTTTTGGATATAAAGGATCAATTTGAGGTGTAGAAATCCATTTTAGATAGTGTAACCAATAAAATCAAGTGATTAAAATAATCATTAATTTAGAAAGTAATTGGTATGTATGCAACAGAATTAATCAGAACCTGTGATGTTCTCAAGCATCATAACTTTATGGACTGATATTTAAATCCATGAAGAGACATGGTTCTTGCAAGTTAACTCCTGGTACCCTTTTTTCTTTTTCATGAATTTTTTTGTGGTGGCATTTTAATGTATGCCTAACTTTTTTTAGCTGCAAGTGTTCTTGAAAGTATTGAGATAAGCCTCGTAGAAGAAGAGGAGAAGGAAGAGGAGAAAATTTTGATGCACAAAGATCTAGAACCAGAACCCAAATTTTTGGAACCAGTCCAAAAGGAGCCAGGTACAGCTGTGATGGCTTCTCCCACCTGTGTGGTTAACATCATTTTAAGTGTGAATTTGCTGTCTGTCATTTGCCACAGACAGATTCTCCAGTGTTCATTACCACTTTTGTGGCAACAGCACTAAAAGAGGTTGTGCGCTATGGATGCCAGAATAGTCAAGCTCAATACAATGCACTGCTTTCTTGAAGTATGGGAGAAATGTTCTTAGAAAAGTGACCTAACTTGAGAACTTAGGCAGGTGTCTGAAAATTTTGGTAAGCCTTGGTAATTACGAGTTTGTGCTCTCGTGAATGTATGTTTAATTCCTGATGAGGGAGCTTGTTTTGCACACTTCTTGCATTTTTATGTTGATATAGTATGTACTTGACCAGGGCAAATACTATACTTCTGAACATTTTATTTTTTTTACATAAGAAAAAGCAATTAATACCTTTTGAGACAGGCAAAATGTGGGATTTGGGAGGAGTGAAAAAATATGGAATCTGATTGTTAAATCTGAAAATTTTTCATGTCTTATGGGGTTGGATGGGCTGTCATAAAAATATTAGCTGGGATAAGTTCTCAGTGCCTTTTTTCCTACCTAAAGAAGTAGGGATGCACCAATAGAGATTTTTTGGGCCGATATGGATGGCCAATTTTTAACGAGCCATATTGGCTGATGCTGATCTGATTGCTGCTATGCAGCCAGGCAGCATGGAGAGCAGCATCTGGCTGGTAAGTCTGTTGTGGGGGAAGGAGTGAGGGCGGGCTGCTGTGCACAGGGCGAGGGTGGGCTGCTGCTGCAGGCTGGGGCTGGGGGCAGTGCCAGGCTCTTCTCAGCTACGGGGCCGGGGGGGGCGACTGCAGCCACCCCAAAATTTGCCGTAGCCCCCCTCCCAGCACTGCCACCTCCTGCCTCAAGCCCAGTTCAACCTACCCACACTGGGAAGAGCCTGGCATTGCCCCAGCCTGCAACGGCAGCCCACCCTCACCCAGCGCACAGATCCGGGGGCACACACCCTCCATGCCCTCCTGGGGTGTGCTCAGTGGAGGGAGCTGCCACCCCCTTCCCCTGGACAAGCCATTTGTGGCTTTCTCACACCTAGCCCCACTCCCTCACTCACTGCTGGGGCCTTGATCTGCTGCCCCTTCCCTCACAACATACGTACCAGTCAAACCCAGCTGCTCTCCATGCTGCCAGGCTGTGCTCCTGGCTGCCTGCATGGTGCGCTGTGGCTGCACGCACGCGGCATTTATTGGCGACATTATCAACCACGTCAGCCAAAAAAAAGCCGATTGCCAATACTGTCAATTTTCCGTATATCGGTGCTGATCCGATATGGGATTAATGTATCGGTGCACCTCTGTAAAGAAGTGGTATATCTTCTCCATACATATGAGCTCATATAAATCTGAATTTATGCCAAATAGTGGAAATAGGTTTAATGGAATAGCCTGAAATATCACCGTTTTGGAAAAATGAAATAAATTATTGCGGAGACAGACATAGCTTAGTGAATTGATCTCGTGTTGGTTTTGACACAAAGGGTCATTTCGTCCATCATCTCTGTCAGGAGTTGTAGAAACTTGGAATCTCTGGTATCAGAAATTGTGTGAAGTGTATGGGAGCAGTGGATTCCTTGCTTAGCTGATGCTTTTATTGGAAATTTATCCTCGTTTGAAAGATGCTTTTCAAGAATGTTTTGTTTCTGCACCCTCCATTAGTTTGGAAAGTTTGAGTATTTTTTCTTAACAGTGCATCTTGCTGTGCCAGGGGAAATCCATCTCAGACACAAAGTGGAAGTTTGCTTTGAAAGCCACCTGGAAGCTATTGCTTGCCCATAAGTGTTTTGGGGAAATATCTGTTTGGTTTGAATTGGTAAAAAACAAAGTGTACAAATCTGCAGATAAGTCCTCCCCCGAATTTCTGTGGTCAAGAAACCCCAAGGTTCTACTTGGGGATATCCCAGTGAAGTTAATGAAGGCCAATAGTTACAAATTATTTGTATATGAATGGTTTCATAGTGATGAACTTCGTAGTGATGTATGAAAGATCCAGAGCCTGACTGCACAGTGTTACAAATAGATTAGTTTTTCTGGTATGGCTTCTTTGCAGAGTGTGAGCTTACTTTTTCTTTCTGTAAAACATTCGTTTAAAAATAGGGAAAATAACCTCACTTTTCCTGCACTAAACTCACAAGCTGCTTTGCTTAATTTTTTTTTTTTTTTTGAACTACACTGCTGTAATTTGGGAAGACTTTTTCATGGGGGTTTGGGAGACATTTTACATTCTGAACCTTGTCACAACTGTCGTTTTCTTCCCCACTTCAGCAGTAGCGGTGATTACACCTGACCGAAGCCCACGACCCACTTCTGCACCAGCCATTGCTCAGAGCCATGTAGCTGAACCAACCCCACCAGCTGCATCTGCCTTCAAGGAAATGGAGGTTGTTTCTAAAAAAGAGAAGGAAGCTGCAAAAACTGAAGTCAAACATGAAGAAATGCCATCTGACAAGGCCAAGATGGAGCCAGCTGAAGTGACCAAGGTGTGTTAATCCCAGATGTTAGCCATCTAGCACTTTTTTGAGATGACCATAGGTGTCTTTTGCTTCTTCTAGAACAGGGCCATCCAAATGCTTCCTGTCTCCACTCCTGGGGGCAGGGCAGGCTGCTCACACTGTACACGCTGCAGAGGAGATCCAAACTGCCTGGGCTGTGTACACAGTGTGGGAAAGTGCTGGGAGGTGTCTGTGGTCCATGCCGGGGGGTGGGGAAGATTAGTGGTTTGTGGCCCATGCAGTGTGCGACCTGGGGATCTATGACCTGCTTGGTATGTGGCCTCCCCCCCACCACTCTCCAGAAATTGGACATCCCTGATACAAAATATTGTCTCCAAAATGGTCTCAAAGTGGTTATGCTACATTTTGAAGGGAATAAGCAGAATGTGTCCCCTTTTGTAGGCAATGAACTGGGAATGGGATCCCTATTAGCCAGTTAACTCTGGTTCTAAGAGAAATCCCTTCTTTGAATTTCAGGATGTCCCAAAAATGGTAGAACATGTACTACAAAAACATCTCATAACACTAGAGAAGTAGGATGAGCTCCAGGACAAATTGTTATCTGGTGATCACCACAAAAATCACATATTTTACTGAGAACTTAGTTGCACAATTGAATAATATTTGCGGATGTTAAATTTAGGGATCATTTGTCACTAAACTGTATCAGCTATATGCTGGTGTGACTATAGGAGCAGTTCTTCTGAAGTACACGATTTACATTAATATGAGAGAAGAATCTGTCCTAGAGTCTGCCAGTGTTTGTATTGTAAAGAGTTTTAATTGATTTGTTTCCCTTAGAGAACTGGTAATGCATTTGTGCCAAGTTTGCATATGGACTAAACTGTTCAAAACTGTTCAGACTTTGGATTTAATATGAAAATGGGACTTAAAAATAATTGGAAAAAGTGTAAATAACTGAGAGTTTTCTGTATAAATTTTCTGTGCTTAAAAAAAAAAAAGTTAAGGCATGGTCATGTATGACGAGTTACTGTTTTTTTTACAACATTCTGAATATTTTTAAATTTTATTTTGGATGAGGATTTGTATATGAAGTGGTAGAGTGATTTGTTCATTCTTGATCTATATCAAGTTTGCTTTCAGTCGCTCCAAATATTCAAGTGTTATTGAGTCATACTTTTTTTATATGATATTCCACTGTATGCAGAGGAAGTGTTGCATGGTGGATGCATGGAGCTGTCCTATGGAATGTATTTGTATGAAATAAGCACAAGAAGCAGAATGGAGAGAAACTGTCCAGTATCTTCCAGCATTATCCAGACAAACCAAGAAGCCTTAATTTTCAATCTTCAAGAAATAACTGCCATGATGATAAAATTTTTTTTTTAGCTGGAGAAAATTGTGAGAATCGGGAGATTTAGGGCCAAATTCAGCACTCTATAGACTCATTAAGACAATAAGACATGGTCTGTTCTAGTACATTTCCTTCACTTTTACGTTCCCTCTGCCATTTGTTCATGTGTATAAAAGCACACAACATGAGGGAAACAGATCATTTAATTATCTAGTGCAGCAGTTCCCAAACTCTGACAGATTGCACACCACCAATTTAAAACCAGCAAATTTTTCAGTTCAACCTTAAGTACCAGCAGCAAATTTTTGTCATATAAGGTAATTATAATAAATCTATTAATGCATACCACTGACAGGTCATTTGCTTACCACTGGTGGTATGCATACCACAGATTGGGAACCGCTGATCTAGTGCCTCTAGTTGACTGACATAAGCCAACTTTGGTAACTCACACTTGAATTTAGGATAGCACTGACTATAAAATTGCCAGTTTGTGAACATCATTACAGAGCAGCCAAGAGCTCTAAGCAGCTTGAGCATACAGCAGGTATAACTATAAGCTTGCAGATAACTGAAATACTGCCTATCCAAAATTTGTAAAATGGCTTAGCCCCACAGAAGGGCTAAATACAGAATAACATCCATCCAGTCCCTGATTGATTCAGGCACTGATTCTTTTTCCCTACAGTAGTTAACAGTATTAGTTTTGAAAAGTGCATAGTATAAAACCCTCTGCATTGCAGAAGGTGCTGCAATTCAATCTATAGTTCAATTTTATATGGGTAACTCAAGTCACTCTATTTATCCTTGCACATGTCCCCCTTTTTTGCCCGCTGGTGGCCAGTTGCTGAGGATTTTTCATTGCCTTAGTAGTCTGTCCCATTTAAGCATCCTTCCTTCATTGTGGGCAAGATTCCATCTTCAACTGGACCATTGAGATGGCCTTTCTAAATGTACTTCAGTGATAAGACCAGGTGCAGATGTTGAATAACTTGCTGTTTAGCTTGGCCATTGGATATAAGCATGTTACCGCAAAGGCTACGATTTTCTATGATGCCTAAAAGGTTTGGATACCCAGCTCCCATTAACTTTAAAAAACTTTAAAATTGACACTTTAAGCTCTGCAGCTATGAAGAACAAAAGGTTTGAAGTCATTCCGGTGCTGTCAAACCCTGTGTTGTTGGTAGAGCGCTTAGGTAATGCATATTATTAATATGTACATTCACAGCTTTTAAATAGCATACATTTAGTTTCCGTCTTTAAAAGATTCTGGGTCCATTAATATGAACATGTTTCTTTTAACAGTGAGATCTCATGGTATCTCATTTGTAGAAACTTGGAGGACCCTAACACAAGAATAATTTTAAAAACAAGATATCTGTCTTTGGTGGAAAAACCAAAGGCCCCCAGAGAACATTGAATCAAAGCATCAGTGTAAAAAAATGCGTTTCAGTTTTAGAAAAGTGATCATAGACTAACAGCCTGTGTTGGTGTTGCTTACATTGTCCCTTGCTAACACCATTCAGAAGACTGCATGTTGGTTACTGCATGTTCACACAACATTTCAAAACCAACTTATTTCAGCTGTGTTTTGAAACAAAGTTATCTTCAAAAAATCTATTAACAAGAAATGTTTTTACCACTTTGTCTTAAATGTAGGTGGGGAAAGCGCACATCGAGGTCACAGTACCTACCACAAATGGTGACCAACTCCAGGTTTGTGCTGATAATTACCAGTTAGGTTATTCATATTTTTTCTTTTTTTTTAAAGAGGCTTATAAAATGAAGGTTCAGCATAATTTAATGAACCAACATTTTTTGTTTTTATCACTGCAAAACAGCAGCCTGCAGAAAAAGAGGAAGAACTGATAAGAATGAGGAAGGTTAGCCATTTTATGCTTTCATCAAGCAGACTCACTATATCATTCATGCATATTTAACATGTTTAAAAAGACAGTGGTCCAATTTCTTCTTGTGCTTTGATTTTTTTTTTTTTTTTTCCAGGTTAGCCATTTTATGCTTTCATCAAGCAGACTCACTATATCATTCATGCATATTTAACATGTTTAAAAAGACAGTGGTCCAATTTCTTCTTGTGCTTTGATTTTTTTTTTTTTTATTCCAAAGATATCTGATACTATTTGATTTCAAAATTATTCAGATTTTTTCCCAATGCCAAACTGAGACATTTAAAGCTCTGTAAGTTGAAGAATTTCTTAAAGAAAAGTCACGCTATTATAACTGTTATTTCACTTTTACGTATAAAAACAAATCTGGTAACTGGCCAAAGACGGTTTTAAAGTGTGCACCCTGGGAAATGCAGCAAGTTAAGAATGCATATTTTTGCAGATTGGTGGACAGGGGAACTTATGTAAAAAGTTAAAGGTCAAGCCAATCTATTATTGTGTGCATTTTAATAAAATGCTTTTTTTAAAGTCTTTGAAGCCCTAGAAAAAATAGACCTGCCACATCATTGAATATAGTGTTGTACTCTGAGGCACACTTGGTTATCAGGAAGATGAATAATCATTGGAAATCTTCCAAAAGAAAATGTTGGAATGTTTCTTTGTAGAGATCAAAATGACTTTGTGGTAGGAATGCAAATAAGCCAATGAAACTCTGGGAACTGTCTCTTTAAATGAAACTCATCTCATCCTTCCACTGTTCATGAATGAGGTCCTCAATTTCTTGATGGTGACTTACATCACATTTTTGTGGTTCCATGGCCCATCTCATACTGGCACAATGCTGCGCTCCAAACGTTTATTTAACTTTTTAATTTGCCAATTTGCGAATCCTGCAAGAACAGCATTTTAATTTTTTGTGCTTTTCTTTTTTTGTTTTGTTTTCCCCTTTCTTTCATTTTCACAGAAAAGATCAAAGAAACTAGATGGTGAAAACATTTATATCAGGCATAGCAATTTAATGTTGGAGGTTTGTATGAACTTGAAGCTTATTTCAGTTGCATTTGCCTGGATCTTCTGCATTCTTTGCTGAAACTCTTACTTCCTCCTCTGCTGCTGTATTTGTTTTTGCATGCTGTTGCATGAAGACCTCTTTAAACTATGCTTTTGCATGTCAACATGCCAATGTGCAGCCATTTTTCCTTCTGCCTATTTTGGTTTTCATTCTGTCATGCTCACCAAGAAATATATGATTGGGATAGTTCTGTGCTAAATCTGTTTCTAGATGTCCAATAGTTGTTCCCTTCAGTCCACAAATAGGCATCTCTTTGTAAGCACACAAATGCTTTGAACCATGCAGGATGCAAGTGCAGTTTTTTCCTAATTGGCTTGACTGGAATAGTGGCAGAGAAGGAAACTGAAACAAGGATGAAGCATAACTGAGAACATCAGAATGAGCTTTACAGAAGAGCTACAAGTTGTGTACTTTTTAGGGATATTGTTGAGAAGTTCTCTCCAAATTTAATGCCACTGTAACCTGTGAGAGCAGAGACTCTGCGCTCTGCTCAAAGCATGGTGATATTAGATGAGTCCTTTATCTGGTCTATCTAGGGAACTGCTAGGTGTAACCACTGTCATATTAGCTATAACTTTCCCTAAACACTTCCTTACTTCAGCAAACCTTGAGGAACATGCAGTTTTCTTTCCTTTGAACAACCTATTGATCAGTAGTAAGTCCCCTCACAGCTGATGGGACTACCACCTCTAACAAAGTATGCCCTTGAGTGGCGTGCAGGATCCTGTCGCTTAGCTATTTGTTGCTATGAATTCTAGAGGTAAAGGTTTCATACTGACAGGGTCTCAGGCTGGAACATGCCAATCATATATTTATTCATTTTGTTATGGAAGATGTTTTGTAGCTTCTGATACTGACTCTGTTCCTGTGTCGTGTGTTTCTATCCAGAATTACAGCAGCAGCAGGGGCTTCTTCAGCATTTTCGTTTGAAAATGAAATGTATTAACTGCCTTTTTTTTTTCTCAGTCCTAATATAAAGCTTTGCAGCTTTTTTGTTTTTGACTGCTACAATTTTAAGCTTTTGGACATCAGTAAAATGATCTGTAACCTGTCAACAGGAGACCGTCAGAATGCTGTGTGGATTTCTCCAGGCAGTTTGTTCAGGGCACTCTTAAACAGATTGCTTTTTCTTATTAGAACACACCTCTTTCTCAAATGGCTTTTTTTCTCCTGTTAATTTAATTCTTGGCTCTTACACACACTGCATTATTCTCAGTGCATTTTTTCTCCTCTCAGCCTCCTCAGCCTATCATCATCTTTTCCTGCCCTCAAAACAGTTCTGTTACAGGTGTTCACAAGCCCTCAGCTTAAAAAGGGCTAACCAGAGAGGGCTTGCTGCCTGCTTTATTTTTTCCTTTTCACTCAACGTATTTGGCAGATCAGATGAATTCCAGCTCACCAGCTAACTGAGTGCAGGAGAATGTTTTAGAATTTGTCATATTTTATGGAAACCAGCTTTGGATCTTGAATGTCTGATTCATAAAGTTCTACAGAGCTGGAACAGGAAAAGTATGACATGTCAGTGAGGTTTATTCTTTAAGAGGCTTACAAGAGCAAACCAGACTTTTTCAGGATACATCTTACTAACTTTAGCTTCTACTTTAACGCTATCCTGCAGCCAGAATAAAGCGTATGCCTGAAGTTGGTAGGCTAGACAAGGAGTGATCTTTCTGCTCTTTGAACACAGAGTCTGTCATAGGGCTCCTCTGCACGTGCTGTGTGGTTCCCAGCTGCTAAGCTTACCATGGCATTTTCAACAAGCTTTTCCATGCTTTTTCTAACCAGCAGGCTTTCTCCACATGCTATCATCTGGGACAGAAGCCAAAACTATTGCTTCCCCATGGCTAGGCCAAAAGAGGAAGCTTATTAATGGAGCCCACGGGCTGTTTTATCTCTGAAGACAGTTTGTCTTGGGTAAGCTGCAGGGTCTCGGATTGTAGGCAGGCAGACCACAGGGGAGCTGCTTGAGGAGGGCATTAATTTAAAGCAAGTCCATGCAATCTAGTCTTGCATTGAATAAATTAGGTGGGATAACCATAAAAAGTATAGAGAACATGTAATTAACAGTATAACATTTGCCAAGGACTCTTTTACTGATTTTCTTTAATAGGCAAGGCTTACTTCTTGTTGGCTCGATCCAGAACACATCTTTGTTTAGCTTAAGCCTACTTAACGCAAAAGCTTTTGTTTTACACAGACTCTGTTTTGCTTGTAAGGAAAGGCAGCAGCAGCTTTTCTTTCTTTCTTTCTTTCTTTCTTTTTTCTTTAAAAAAAAACAAAACTGAACAAAGCTGACTTGTCTTGAAGTTTGTGCATTCACGCTGTAAACTGGCATTGCCAAATAAAGACCTGGCATTTTTCATACCCTTATCTTTTAGCCTGGGTACACTGATTATTCTGGCAAGAAGTAGATGTCCAGTTCAGTTTTAGAAGTTTGTCTGTCTCACATTTTGTTTGTTCACCAGTGTGAAATCTCCTGTCTAGTTCCTGGAGGGAATATGATGAGGGGCAAGAAAGTAATGAGGTTGCTTTGTTACAAAGATTATTTTAAATAACATGGAAAGAGATAAAATTGGAAAACAAATCCTTTAAACGTTAATGGCATTTATGACTATCCCTTGAATTTTCAGGGTTTATGGAGGGGGAAACCACCCCTCCGAGAAATGCACTGTGTGGGGCATGAAATAAAATTGTCACGGTTTGTTTAGAGCGGTTGATACTTTTAGGGGGAAATATATGATGAAAACTCAGGTTATCTATCGTGGTGTAGCCAGAGGTGACTAATGACAATCACCTGTAGATGAGGCATCTGTCACCTGTTAATTAAAATTTGTCCCTCCTAATACAAGAATAGGACAGAGAGAGAGAGGCTGTTTCCTTTGTCTGTTTACAGTGTGAGCACAATTAATGGAAGGCAGGAACAGCTCTGCTGAGCTCAGCTTGCTATCTTTCAGCCTAAGCAATTGTAGATGGACTTTCGTATGCTTGTCTTCATTTTCCTTTTCCTTCTAACCGTAGGATCTAGATAAACCTCAAGAAGACATAAAGAAACACCATGCCAGCATCAGCGAGTTAAAGAAGAACTTTATGGAGTCCGTCCCGGAGCCCCGGCCTAGTGAATGGGATAAGCGCCTGTCTACTCACTCCCCTTTCAGAGCACTTAACATCAATGGGCAGATCCCCACAGGAGTAGAAGGAGTGAGTACCTTGTGCAGTGTGGTATAGTTTGATGTAGTTTGTTTGTGTGCGTGTTGTTTCTTTTTAATGGTGTGGCAACAAAATAATCTTAACTTAAAATTGGACTTATCTTAGTTTTTGTGTTGTTTCAGATGTCTGTCTTGGTGTTTTTAAAGAACAAAGTTATTCCTGGGAATACTAATTTTGAACTTTATTACAATTTTCTGTGATACTGTGTAAAACAGTATTGAGAGGTCCCACTTGGCTCTGTTTACCCTACTTTAATATTGCTCATATCCCTAACATCTGGGATGTTATTCCAGATCTTGTTTGGGGATCTGCCTTATTAACAGTACTAAGGGAATCTCATTCACGTTGGAAAATTTCAAAAATTGCTGTAGATAGTGTTCTTAAAATTAAGTTGCAATCTCCAGTGATAGGATTTGGATGGTGTCTGAGAGAACAAAAGGTCATACACATTAATTAGTTGGAGAGAAACCCCATTAAGCGGATGTTGCCTGAAATTGGGCCACAATCACCTAGCAGTCTGTGTGTACCCCTGTGTCTCTGGAGCCCTTTTAAGGTCAATAGGGACTCTTTATGGGCATAAGGGTACTTGCATGGTTTTGGTCCCCACTTCACAAAAGAATTTTATTTTAGGAAACTGGCATTCATAGCTTTGGTAATCATGAACACAGAAACTTATTGGTTACTGTCATAAGAACTTTTTTATTTTTTAATACAAGCAAGCAGGACAAGAAATCAATCTGCTAACCTGTCTCTTCCTTAATGCTAGCCAGTATTCCTGTTTAAGTACTGTTGCCATTACTTAATTGAAATTAAAGCTCCCAGAAGGCACTGCAGCAACTTCTTGAACAATAAATCTTGTCTCTATTATAGTCAGTGGCAAAACAACCATTGATTTTGGCCTAGATTTTACTTTCACAATTCCATTGGAGGGGTTTTTGTCTGACCTTTAAATCATGCAATCATATGTCTAATATTGTAACATTGAATCGTGTTGAGGGGCGCTAGAGGGGAAGAGAGGATTTCTTTTTTAAAGGATGCAAGAAGTTAGCAGCAACTTGATATATTAAAGTCAGCTTAAAGTTCAGCCAGGGTAGGAGCATGACAACTATGGATCTTATTCCCTGTCCAATATATTTAGTTGTAATATGAATTGATATACTTTCTGGAAGTCCCAGCTCATTTGTTAAATACATATTAGGCTATTTTACTAGAGCGTTTCTGAACCATGATATAAGCAATCTTTGTGCAGGTTGCTTGGCAGAGAATACTTCCCCAGATGAGGATATGGGATAGTGTGCTTGTAAATGCACAACTACAGTGATTATGTTGCTAGCTCTCCTATGACACTGTATACAATTTGGTGCTAGTCCTGTGTGCCTCAGTTTGTTGCTCTGCATTTCTGGATGATCCATGACCTGTGACATGGTCCTTTTCAAAATGGTTTCATGCCAAGGTGGTTTAGGCTCAAATGTCTTTCTGAGGAACTTCCAGAAATGACTTCTCAGTGCTTGAGGAGGACAGAGGGACTTGCAAGAAGACACATGGCTAATGTTTTACTTAATCATTTTCAAATGTATAAGGAAGGTAAATGTCAATGTAAAATGATTCTCTGTCCTGCCAGTCACTGCATTAACCTTTTTTTTTGCTGTAACAATAATGTTTTGTAAGAGGTTACCTTTCTACTATTTCTGTATGCTGCATTACAAAACAACTGAATGTTACACACTTTGTGTATGTCCAGGTCAAGAAAGTCACTGCCCTATCCTCTGAGAGAAAGGTTGGTGGGCTTGAGGTAAAGCTGCTGTTCTGATATGTGCTTCTGAAGCAGAATTTTGCTTTTGTAATGGCACTAAGCAAAAACCCAACAGCAGCTGCTAAGTAGCATTTTTCTTTTGGCCACTTCAAGTAGTTTCACATCACACAGCCTCCAGACCTAACACCTAAAGGATTTGCACTGCTGCAGCTTTTGCAGCTTTCAATTTGCTTATTTCAGTGCATGGCTGGTTGAAAAGCTGCATGAAGATGTAACCGTGTATTCGGAGAGAAAAACAATTATGAAAGTTTAACTGTACCCTGTTCTTTTTTATGTTGTCTTTCTTTCCGTTTTGTTTTTTGTTTTAATAATCATGTTACTCTTGCATCTTATTATTTTTCTTTTGCTGCCCAGTCTCCCAGCTACTTTCTCCCTGATACTCATCACTTAGGGGTGTGCAAAGAACCAGTCCCCAAATTCCAAACTGATCAAAGGAGGTTGACTCAGTTGAGAGAGCTTAGGGCCAAATTTTTTCTTTCATAAATGTGCCCGGGTTGATCGTGCTTAGTAGTTGAAGGGATGGGAGAGATTTTTTTAATGGAATGCAACATTTCCCCAAACATTTTTTTAAAAAATTTAAGTACTGAATCCTTTGCATGATACTGTGTGATGGTTTATTCATTATAGTTTTACATTCTTTAGACTGGAAACACAGATGCATTAATGTACAACAAAATTCAGGGAGTTTGGAATGTTACTGCTAAACTTGTGCATATTCCATGCTCTTGATTTTTAAGGCATATTGAACAGTTTTGCATTTCTAACAATATAATTTTTGGAAAAAAGTGAAAATTTTGATACTATCTTCAATACTTTCAAGATAAGATTTTATTATTTGCACTAACATCTGGGTGCCAAACCTATTGAACTAATGCCATTTTTCAGGCCAGTAGTAGTATAGCAAATTGTAAAAAAAAAAACCCCCAAAAATGCAGAAAATTAACCCCCCCCCCCCACAAAAAAACCAACTTTTTATTGGACCATTTCTATTTGTAAAGCAACAAGGAATTTTACTCTGTTCTTTCAATTGCGAGAGACATTAGTGAGATCAACTATTCTCTCCCAGGGAAACTGGGACAAGTTCAGATGTGCTCACAGGGGTTCATAAGTTCTCCACAGATGACCATATCAAACTGAACTTAAGAGTATTGCTAAAGTACTTCTGTCCTTTTTAAGCCACCAAAAGTTTTGTCCTCCAGCAGTTTAAATAACCTAATCTAAATTGGCACAGAGCCCCTGGAAGACCCATCCTAAAACTTTGCACATCCCCAAGTCCCATTTGGAGCACTTTCCATCTGTCATTTTTGTTCATCTCTGTCTTTCTTGATCTTCTGTCACGAAAGCAGACACAGGAACGTCCTCTGTTAGTACAGGATGAAGATAAAATAAAAAAGGAGAAACCTACTGAGACAGCCTTGCCCCAGCAAGCAAGAGAAGAAACTCTTCCAAAGGTTTCTATTCCGATTCCTGAGGAGCAGAAATCACTCAAAAAGTGCCACCTGTACTCTAATATTTTTCCTTCTCCACGCATTCCTTTTATGATGTCCTTTTTTGTGGTCCTTATACTGATGGTGTGGTGGCTGATCTTTCTGTGATTGGAAACAGGGTGCCTATTTGAAACATCAAGACCAAAGCTCTTGCATTCTTGGCTGTAGCTTCTACTGCATCTTCTGTGTTTTGCCCTCTGATCTCCATAGCTCCTTATGCCAGGGACATTCTGAAACTATTTTTTTAAAATCATATTTCTCATTGCATAGCATATTGGTTGGCATACCAAAGGAGTGGCAATGGATTCTCCACCCCACTCCACTGTTCTGAACTTTCAACCTTTGCTGTCCATAAGAATTACATTTTAAAAAGCATGTTACCTATTCAATATCTGTCAAAATCTTCAGCTCTTAAGCATGTTTACTGATGATAGTTTTCTTGTTTTTATAGCCCCTTCAAATGTCATACATTGCAGTTTGTGGAAAGGTTTCACTGAAGATGACTCTTATTTTTAAAACCAACACTTGCTTAAATTTGCATTGTTTGTGGGGGGAGAATTCAGTCTGATATTTATTGAAAAGCCTTAAGATTCCCAGCAATCCACCAAGTCTGATCTGTAATCACTCCTGTTCTAAGAGAATAAGATTGGCGTAGAGTTGCCTTTTTCTTTATTTAAAAAAGGCTTGATGTCAGCGGCCTTCTAAAGGATAATTCATGTTCCTAGGGACAGACTTCTTCACCTGTTCCCTTTATGGAAGATCATTTCAAATCTTAATACTGTCTTACTGCAAACTTCCCTGCATATCTTTCATAGCTGTATTCTCCTCTGAATGAAATTTTGTGTAATTTGTCAAGGGGGGGGAAAAAAGTCACTAAAAGCAATATTTATTGTAAGTATAAATTAATCCATTTCCTGACCCTGATTACCTTGGTGCATATCCATATATATATCTATATTCTTTTAATTTGTGTTGAACTCACTGAAGTGTGTTTACTAATGATCATGAAAATGGATGTAATGCCCCCTAAAGTATGTCTTCTTTTTGCATGTTGACTTGCTGCTATTAAGTTTATCTAAACATATAGGAGAGTACTATGCTCATAATTCTAGTGTTAAGCTGCTTATTTGGATTTCTTTAACAAAAGCTTTGCATGCTACTTATTTGTAATTTGGAGTGTAAATGTGTGGATGATGATTTTATGTATATTATCAACATTTACACTTGACTATAGATAATGATCAGTTTCTTTTGAAAGCCAAGATTTGATGCTCAGCTGGGATGAGCAGATCTGGCTCACAAACCAGGCAAAAGATGGGACTTTTCACTTTAGTAGTTATTTCTTCATTATACAGTAAGCAGGAGACAGAGTTAAGCCACCCCACTCTTTTCTAGTAGCAATTTGCATTCTGTTGCTTTCTCTAGAGGTGTTTGAGGTAGAGGTAGAAATAGTATAGCAGTGGACTGCCACCAATATCTGTCAGTGGTGGCATTCAAACTAAAAGCCCAGAAGAGAAAGGAATAGACATGGATAAAAAAGAACTAACTTCTGTGTATGCCTGTATGTGTACATGTGTGTATACTCCTTTATACGTCAATCTATGAACACATTGTTTTTAGAAGTTAATGTGTCCATATAGATGTATGTGCATGCGGTGGGGAAAGGGAGGAGATGCATGCATAGTTAGCTT